TGTCTCCGCACGGAATATCCGGTGTTATGCCGAGAATTGCAGGCACCTCCAAATAATGCTTTTAAACCTATGTTTTAAAAGCTATAATATACTTTGTGGGGTTCATCAATGGTGATAAAAGATTCAAAGTATTTACTTTATGAACGTTTAGAGTCGTTAATATTTTATTGCACTCACAGTAGAAGTAGAATTCATTGAGATTCAGCAAAAATATGCGGTGTTAACCCGTTTGATCAGTGTGCAGAGCAAAAGTATCTGAAAAGGACATTTAACCTCTCTTCTCAGCACAAATGAGCATTACACAAACTTCTTCACACCTAAACCTGGCTCACAATATTTTCTTCAACACCTGTAGATGTTGTCAAATTGACCAGTTCTTCAGGCTTAAAATATTTGCTGCCTAATTCCACTGAAGAGAAGAATCAGGCTGCCATTTGTACTTTGTGAGAAGCCGATTAAAATCAGGAAATAAAATATAACTGGAAAAAAGCTCCATGTCTGTAAGTCAACAACAAAAAAAAAGACAAAAAACTCTTAGCAGAAATTACTGTGATGAATGACCAGTTTACTTTAGTTTACATGTTTTGTGAACCTATACTGTAACTGCCCCAGTCCATGCAAGCAACTTTACTGTAGGGTAGTGAAATTGTGAAAAATGGACAACCCAAAATGGCATATAGTGCTCTCGTACTCGCACAAAACATAGAAACGTATACATAATTAATTTTTACATCACAGAAAAATATGCATATGTAAACAGTAACACACAGCCAAAGTACATTAGATTTCACCCAATCCTCCTGCCTTCTCCACAGAGATCTCCCATTTGCTGTAAAGCCAGCTCAGTAAAGAAATATACACAACCTACATTACATTTAATGTAAGGGAAGTCTAAAATGGCATTCTTTGACGGTGAATGAAAATAGCTCATTACAGTATTACAACTATTTACTGCCACAACATTTCACACTCTCTCAACCAGGGTGCTCAGCATTGGACTTGTGATACTGCTTTTAAAGTTCGAGTAAAACATTTAAAAGATTATTACCCAAAATGTTTGACTTTTTATATGGTTCTTAGCTGGGACAGAATCTTGTCAAAGTACAACAAAGACCTCATGTTCTGTTTCTGATTTGGAAGCAGGACCAACAGAGTTCCTAAAAGCCACACCCAGACTTGATAGTTTGACTTTTTACTTTAATCCTTTTAAGAAAATAACATGAAACCAAAATAGTCCATAAATAGCGGCGATCCCATATGTGAGTAATTCAAATTCTTAAAATAATATCGTATGGTAAAGTATGGAGATGCATATCCAAGAATGCTGGCAATACAAAAGAATGCAGCATATTACATATCTGGTGATCGTTGCATCTGTAATAAAATGTTCCTGCAGATTACAGAAATGATCTGCAAGATCCAGTAAATTCCACCGATTTGGTATTATTACCTTATCTTTAGAGCATTCATAATAACTTTAAAACGAAGGAGAAGGAATTTCAGATTCTATTCTTTTGATCACATGCAGTCTAACAATAAAAAAACCTACTGAGTGTCAAGCTATGTAAAAAATAGACAATAGTAATGTAGACAGTAATATATCTGCATTCCAACTGTTTCTTCCCAAACTTTCTCAAAATAAATAAAAATCCATCCACTGGATAACTCTGAGAATGAAGTGCACATCATGCTATGCCAAAACAACACTATTTCAACCTTGTCAGTCTTACACTGGAATCTAAAAAAACACCAGCATCAACAGTCTTACATACAGCACTCAATGCACAGGCCTTCCCATAAACACTATTCACAGAGACATGCTCCAAAACTCAAGGAGATGGTGGTGTTTCTTACTGCTGTCAACAAAGTGTGCGATGAGGCATGATCCCAGGTTATCTGCGCTGCTCAGTGGTCTGCTCTGCCCATCATGCCTCTTCGAAAACTGAGTAAAATCCTCTCATCTGCTCCTCCCCATCAATCTATCTATCCAGTTTCCCTTATTAGACTGGCTAAAGTGTCACTGGTCACATGCGCTCAATAAAAAAAGCTCCTTAATGTGAACTGTAAATAAAATGTTTCCATCAACTGTTGAAATGATTAATGAACAAGTAGTGCTAATGCACTAAGATAAGTCAATTACATTTCAAGGCAGCGGGTGCATTTACATTGTACCTATTTACTAGTGCACAAAGTAACAGAAGTTAGCATTCATGAGCCAGTGTTAGTGCAAGCAGCTTGGTCATGAAGGACAGCAAGAGGCAAAAAACAACATGTTCGGGGCATGGAAAATGAGTCAAAATCAAATGAAACACAAAATCTGTATGTGTGCACTTGTTCAGGGTGTCAGATGATTTATGGATCACTTAAATTATTCAATCTGGTTTGCCTTGTTCTTCTCTGCTCCTCTAAGTGATTGCTGAGGCCTGTCATCATGCTACCTGATGTGGTGCTGCCATCTTCAGGCCTGATTTGGAAATACAGGTGCTCTTCCAATAACATTACACTGCCTGAGCAGTTGTTCTCAGGCATTTTTCAAGCTATCAAGGTCGTTTATTTATCATCATACAACACAAGGTTGTACAACAAAAATTACCGTTTGTAGTCACTTCAAGCTTCGCATAGAACTTAACAGATAATTAAATGTATATTATAATCTGGTAACATAAAATAGATAATATATATATGCAGTTTTTATTTATATACATATGTACATGCACCTAGGATATAATTCTGTGCATATTTTTTAAAATTTGGCTCTGGGAGAGTGTAAACAGCAGCAACAAGACAGTGATGCGTATATCATCTTCACATAATAAGTCTGACATGGAAACAGTGTCCATCCACTTTGACTGCGTTTAAGCACCAGGCATCACTGGCCTCCTCTTATCTTGCTGGAGTCCTGAGCTCTGTTAGCTTGAAAAACGGTCCACCCACCAAGTGCTTGATTCAGGATGTTGATAGAGCAGGTCTGTTGGTAAAGGTGTGGGCACAACAGTCTCCTTTGTCCCATTGCTTGGCAGCCTGAGTCTCATTCTGTCCAGACCGGACATTAGCCAGGAGCAACCTTAAGTACAAGTCCTGCAAGGCTCCTATCCTGGCAATCTTTAGTCTCCTCCTTGGTCACAGCACCCACCGTGGTGCCTGATCCGGTTCATCTGGCTGCGTGGATTGTCTTAAGGTCTGCTGCTCTTTAATCCAAAACCCAGCTTTCTTATCTGATGACTGTATTTCTGTCATATGTGTTTCAGAAATAAAGCCAGAACGAAAAAACAGATGAAAAAGAAAAAATGTAGCATTTTGAGTATGAAGGAGCTGCATCTGCATGCGCAGCCTTTGCCATAGCCAACCAGACAGATGAAAGCTTAAGAAGGTTTTAAGTGGAATCATGCAGATCAGTTGTAGATTTAACAGATTATTTATCTCTCTGTAGTTGAAAATGCAGCGATAACCAACATACACATTCCCACTTACGTCCACTGAGGGTTATGTTTAAGCCTTGCCAGTTGCACCTCATGTGCTATGTAGCATTAGGTTTGTATTGTGTTGCATCCTCAACTTTGGATTATTCTCTGTTTATGGTGAGAAAAGAGAGCATGATGTCTCATACAATATGAAAGAATAAATCATTCATATTCCCCTTTAGTAACTCCATGCACTCTCCAGTTCTAGCGAAGCTCAGAAAGCAAAATGTCTATGCCAAGCTCTTGTCAGCTTTTACAGAGGAGCAACAGAAAGCAACCTGACTGGAAACATCACTAACTGGCATGGGATTTGCACGGCCCAGGACAGGAGGTCACTGGTACCCATCTCCCGAGCATCATGGATATCTGTGAGGTGAGGTGCCTACGCAGAGCCCAAAGGATACTTAAGGACAGTACCCACCCAACCACAGCCTGTTCACCCTGCTGCCTTCTGAGAAGAGATACAGAAGGATCCGCCGCTGTAACAGAACAGCTTCTTTCATAAGGCTGTGAGAATCCTAAATTTATCCTCAGAACTATATCAGGAAAAATGTTTTTTAAGACATATTAAACATTACTCATGACCGTTTACAGTATATACTTTCTGTTTTGTATATATTTTTTGTTTTTATGAGTAGCATAAAGGGAACTACAACTTGTACATGTTTTACAACCCTGTAAATGATAAATAAAGGAACCTTGTAACCCTACACTGTGATATGTATTTTTGTGGGAGTGGGATGGAAAAGGAGTGGAAATCCACTCTTGTATCACCCTCTAATGCACATACAGAATGTGTAACGCAAGGAAGGAACACCAGAAAAACAAAAAACGAGAAAAAACAGATGTGTAGAGTGATCAAGAGTGTCAAACACCAGATTTGATATATATTTTGATCTGCTAAAGATACCTCTTTTCTCTGAGACTGTCAGACACTCAGCACGCTCTGAAACAAGGCAGAATAAAGCTCTGTGATGGTACCTAATTAATCTGCTCCTGTGAAAGACATCCTCCTCACATGTAGAAAATAGGTAAATCTTTCTGCGCATGTAGACAAGAAAACTTTCCATATTAACCATCTTGTTTGTGCAACCACTGTCCTCAGTAAAGCTCTCCTCTGATATTGACGTCCAAAAAGAGGTATTACAGTTTGAGTTGGTTCATTCTTTATTTGTGGTTGGTTTCCATGGCAACAGAGCAAGCACTTTGGCAAAATTTTGCAATAAAGTCAAAGCAGACTTTCCTTTTTTCCAGAGGTCCCTCCTCTGTGTCTCCTCAACTAAATTACTTTGTGAAATTATTTTTAAGTATATGTGGTAAAAAAAAGACACAAGACTAGAAGTGTATACATAAGCACACACATTTCCAGAACTGAACCTCTAAGTATAGTATGGGCAAATCTGCAGCGAAGAATAGAAAAAGCTCTAACAGAAAATCATATCAGGAGCACAGATTGGTTCAGACAGGCCAACACCCTCAAAATCAACACAAGCACAGCCTCTCCCTTACCACACACTCTACACATGAATTCTGCCCTACCTGGGTGACTTTCTCAGTGACGTGGTGCGTCCGGTCGATGAGTTTGCAGGGAGCTATGATGTCCATCTCCCCCGTGGGCAGGGCAATGAGTGGGTCAGGTTTGAAATCTACAAAGTTGAGGGTGATCTGAGGGATTTTGGAAATGGTGCGGTACCGCATAAGGTCTGAGTCCGACGTGGAGTTCAATATGTTGGATTTACTGTTTACCGCACCTGCAAACACACACAAAGCAGCAAGGTAAAATCAAAGAGGACAAAAGTCATTGTCATCTATTTTTCCTCCTTCAGCCCCCTCACCAGTGCTGCTGCTCCCCAGCCGAATACTCGCTCTCCGGTTCTTTCGGTTCCAGTCGGACCTCATGGCCTCAATCTCATCTACAGAGGAGGCGCGACGCATGCTGTGGAAGCTCTCCCGCGAGCGGCTATGCGACAGGGAGCAGTTGGAGCCTGAGGCGTCCGGATTGAGGCTGAGGCGATGGTGAGGCGCTACGCAGGGGGATGACTGGGTGAGGGGACCCACCAGGTGGGCTCTGTTGGGAGGAGGAGGTACAGGATGGTCAGAGCACAGTAAGGTGTGGTGGTCCTCCTGGAAGTCTTCTGGCCAACTCTGTAGAACTGACCTAGGAAAGAAACGTAATGGGTTTTAACAGGATATTAAGTAAGGAGGAGCTTTACATGTGCAAAAGAAATTAAAACGAGACACAAGAAAGTGACATCAATCCACATACTACGTAACTAAAATGAAGGCCTTTTGAGTTACTGTGGTGTATTCTCATTTTATAGGATTTTATTTGCACGAAATTCATGCACGAAAAGTGAAAAGAAGAAGTTGAAAATCATTAGCCTTGTTGAGGAAATCAAAGTGTCAAACCTAAATAACTGAAAGTCTACAAAAGACAAAAAACAAACAAACAAAAAGATTCCACACAAACTAGACAAACGTTCATCAGACTTGAGGATGGCAGAACATATTTGTTCTTGAAAGTTGCTCATGCTAAAATGGGTGTGCATAGACCCTTTTATAGAACTGTTAAGAATTATTCAAGAATAAGTGAGATGTTCCTCATAAACAGAATTTAACATAAGCCTCTGTTAACTGATCTCTGTACATCCTAAACGTGTTTTTTACAATCCAAAGGGCCTACCTGCTTCCACTGATTTGCTCCTGGTGGTCTGGTGGTAAAGGGGGAAGGGGCAGGAACTCCCCTAGGCCTAGGGACTCGTGACTGTGATGGTCTTGGTGCAGCGGCAGGGGTGTAGCAGTGGGGATATGACTAGCCTCTGCGTCGTCCAGAGACACTTTACTGTTTGATAGGGAGCGCAGCAGGGGAAGACGCAGCTTAAAGCCTCGTGGACGACCTGGAGGAGAGAAGGAGAATGGAGGATAAGACTCATTGCCTGCAGTGACAGGTGGATATCCAATATTAAACAGTGGCAGGAAGGAGAAATGGAAACTGAAAGAAAAGTGTGAATCAAAGAGAGAAACAAGTAGAAATAGGATATGGGAGGATATTGTAGGCAATGGCGGTCATAGGAGGACAGAAGGAGATTTTAACTGGATCATGCTAAGTTTAACAGACCTTCAAAATACAGCTTCAAAAACAATCTCCTGGAATCTGGGACAGTAACACTGACTAGATTTTGGTTTTAGCCACAGAGTTAAAAACAAGAAATCAGTTTAAGAGTATAGACTGTATGCAAAGATGGACAACATGACAACTCCCCAAAAGTGAAGCCAAAACATCTCCATGCTCCATTATGGGACATTGGCCAAACAAAAAAATCAAAGTGCATGTCAAATAGAATTTTCACAAAGATGGTTTCTGTAAATGGTCTTTCTTATAAGTTTGGTTTTAATTAGCTATTTGATACTATAAAAACGGCGTTTCACGTCATGATTGCCAGCTTCCTCAGATTCCTCAGCATGTTTGTACAGTGGGAGGAAGTGGAGTTTTTATTTTATTTATTTTAAATAATTTATATATATATATAAACATTTAATTATCTGTAAGCATGTGTAGCATGTGTTGTATAATAAGTAAACAACCTTACACCTTGGTGGATTAGTGTCCCCTCCCAGGCCTAGTTTTCTAGTTTGACATGCACTTTGACATGAATTCTGCCATTTTAGTTTTTAGTGTGCAGCTGAATGGTCTCAATAACCATAAGCTGCAATCCCTCCTTTTGTTGAGGCTATTGAAAGCTCTGTCTGTAAGTATTATTTAAGCACAGGCCATGGAACAATATCTGGGTAGTATTTTTGTGAAGTATATTTTATAGTGCTGGGCAACAATTACAATTTTTGTTGCAATTAATCGCACGATTTTCTGTGATTAATCGCATTGTTATGCGCAAAATTTAATAATGAATTCTAAAGTAGTGTTTTGCGCACAAATTTAAATATACTGCTATATGCACAAAAGTGCAGTAACGTGGTTTGCAAACACTTTAAACAAATAAGGTGCTTTTTACTAGCAGTATTCCCTTTACACAGTAGCAATAAAATATTTCTTGTAAATCTCATAATCAGAACATCTTAACAGGCACCTTCTGAGCAACAGGTTAACATATATAAATCTGTTTTCTTGTTGTCTTTTGTTCTGAACAGGTATCAGCAGAAACATTTTTCTTTTATCAGGGAGCAGCATAAACACTCTATGTTCAGTAGCAAGCGTCCCTGTTAGAGTGAGGTGAAGTGGTCGAGCAAAAGGTGTAGTGACAAGCGGGCACGTTATGCGAAACTGTCGTGGTTGTGCTCGCCTCACGCACACGCCGCTGCCGAAGTTGAATTGTCTTGAACTTTTTGTAGGAGACGTGGAGCACAAACCATTGGAAGACAGATTGATCCTCGCTGTTTGTGAGTTTCCAGAATCTACTACTGTTTACTAAACAGGACATCAACAGGAGGGAATTCGCATGGAAGAGCATCCCAGCAAAACTAGATGAAGGTCTATCATGTAAAGTTATGTAGCCTATAATTTTAACTTAAGTTAAATAGGCTACAGCTGTGTGGCGCAAAGAAGCTGTAATAGCAGAAAATCATGCGATTAATTGCAATAAAAATTTTAATTGTTGCCCAGCACTATAAAATATACTTCACAAAAGCTGTTGCACAAGAAGTGAGGTTTCTTTAGTCAGATATATTAAGAAATTATATTTACTTAAGTATTCAGTAAAACCATATGTTATTGTGACTTGGCCACTGACACATAACAAAATGTAAGCCAAGAGTGTGTAACACTATCACTGTTTCTGCACCACAGTCCATTATAAACCAGACATTAGATAAAGTTTAACATTGACAAGGGAATCATTAATTCTCGGTAATTATGGATCATAGCCAAAACTACCCGCCACCAATAATATCTGGCCTGTTGCCAGATTACGGTGCTTTGATAGCGGCAAAAAATATAAATAAATAAATACTTTGATAGCGGTGCTGAAATAGACCTCAGTCATGACAGCAACAGTTACTCACATAATCACTTCCTCTTTAGTGTTTTTGCAGCACATCCACTAATGTGAGCATGAGAAACACTGCATAATCCATTTGTTGAAGAGAGAGGAAAAAAAAGCTAATGGTTGAAAAAAATGGTATTCAACATAGTGTCTACACTGCCTGAACATAGTGACGAAACACGCTCTGTAGCGCTGTTTGTCCATTTTCAGCTACTGTACAAACATGACAACGCAATGAGGCAATGTCCATGGAAGTGGGGGCCGCGCTTATGTAGATATAAATGTCTCATTCTAAGGTAATAAAAACACAATGCATGTAAGGTCTTTACACAACACTGAAAACATAGTTATGGATATTATTTTGCATTTCTTTCAATAGATCCTCAGAAATATTACAGACTGAACCTTTAAAGGTCCAGTTTGTAATATTGTCCTGGTATCTGTCAGTGGTCATACTGGATGCACAAGATGTGATAGTTCATTTTCATTTTCTTCTATGTTAGTCCAGATGAGCCAACCCTCCCAAGATGTAAAATAATGTATTACAGGAGTATGAGACATCTTGTAGCACTTAATTTCTTCATGTGGCTGTTGTTTATTAATGAAAAAGTAACAATAATATTCAAAAAAATTTGGTTTTACATAATTTATATAATTTCTTAATATATCTAAAAGAAACCTAATTTCTTGACTGGCAATCTCTTTTATCTCATAGATGACATCTTTGTCCTGTCTCAGGCACCGTAGCTATACTGCTCTCTTGAATTGAATTGTGTACCTATGCACACATGCAAAGAGAATCGTACAATCAATGTCCTACTGCAGATGCTGTTTCCCAGGGTTATCCCTCTGGAACATAAAGTACAAGTTCATGTTGATGAAAAATAGCATTTCTTAAAACTTGATCCGACACACCCAGGTTTCACAGGAAAAAAATTACTTCGCAAATACCTCAACCACCTAAATCCTAATCCACTAAATAAAATCAACAAATGATCCAGGTAAATTAAAGGGACAGTTGTCACTTCTCACCCACTGAACATATTAAGTCCGCTTCATTTATTGAAAATGAAATGTAAATGAACAGATGGTCATATTGGATTTGGATTCAAGCACTGAACCAGTCAAATTATAAATTTTCCAAAATGATGTGTCGATCAACAGTGTAATGCTATTTCTTTTTATTTTGTTTTCTGAACAGTCTGTGCACCTACTGTAAAAAAATGAAGGGAACACTTAAATATAACACTCACAGTATGACAGCGAGTCAATTTAACTTATGGGATATCAATCTGTTCAGTTAGGAAGCACAAGCAATTGTGAATCTATGCCACTTGTTTTGGTTCAAGTAAAAGTGACAACAGGTGCAGAGAGACAACAGCAAGACAACCCACAAAAAAGGAATGGTTTTGCAGGTGGTGTCCATAGCTTGCTCCTTATCCTTCCTAACTAAGGGCCTTTCCGAAAGTACTTGCTGCTCCCTCCTCCTACACTACTTCTACTGCGTTTGCATGTTAACGTTGAGGGTCTGCCACATTGATTGCCATCCAAAACCAATGAGGGTGGAGTAGTAGTGGGCTATAAAACCCTCCAATGCTGAGTGAGCATCGATGCTGGCTTGTTGAAGGTGTGTAACACCCTTTGTTGCATGATGAAGGACCCTTCTTCAAACTACGTCCCTAAACATGTAGGATTTTTAAAATCCTAAACTTCTCTTTACATTTCTATTTCACAATACACAGGTTAACAACATAGCCTAAAGTTTGCATGTGTTTAAAAAAAAAAAACAATGCTTTTGTCTGATAGAAAATACAACAGAATCTTATTCATCTCATATGAAAATCTTCAGCCAAAACAAAAGTACATAAAACGACAGAATATTAGAATTTAATATTTAAATCTTTTCACATTTTAACAGTTTTACTTGCTTTGCTATTCTTCAGACCATATAATGCTTCAATATAATGTTTGATTTCTAGTTTGTAATGTTGTAGGCCTGGTGGTTTCTTTTAAGACCATTTGTATTTGTGAATGTAATCATTTCCATATAAGATAAAGTGGTTCAACATATATAGTCTAGTCTTTTACAATCAATATAAATCTTAAAAAGAATGTGAGGTCTGTTTTTCATAAATTATTAGCTGAACCAGTCAACGTCTTACAGAATTATTATAAAGCTAACCAAAATAATTTGGTACACATAGCCTACAATCATAAAATGAATGGCAAATGGTTTCAGTTTTGTTTTTGCAAAACAAACATTTTTCCTCAAAAATCAATCCTGAATCTTAATGCGACTGTTGTTTGTTTCATAAACGTATGAAAGCAGTGACAGAGAGTGCAGCGGTAACGGCTGATCCTATTTATGCTAGTGAGAGGGAAGTTCATCCGAAAGTTGGCGGCTGTATTTATACCCTCTGCGTTAAGTGAACTCAATTTGGCTGTAAGGACGACTCCGACGAGAGTACACTCCGTGACGGAGTGGAAGTGGCGTGGGTCTAGCTTCAGAAAGTGTTTAGTGTCTAGTTTTGCACTTTGTTAGTGTCCTTGTCACTACTGGTAGCAGGTACCTGCAGCCCATTCAGGCTATACAGGTAGGCAGCTTCTCCAGGATGGCACATCGTCGCAAGAAGGTTTGCTGTGTCTCCCAGCACAGTCTCAAGAGTATGGAGGAGATACCAGGAGACAGGCCGCTACACGAGGAGAGTTGGACAGGGCAGTAGAAGGGCATCAACTTAGCAGCAGGACCGGTATCTACTCGTTTGTGCAAGGAGGAACAGGAGGAGCACTGCCAGAGCCCTACAAAATGACCTCTAGCAGGCTAGCCTGAACTCTCACTAGTTTGCTTTCAGAACCAACAGATCCACAGAGAACTGCTGCTCCACTGCCCTCAACTCAGCCCTCACACACCTCGAGAAAAACAACACCTACATCAGGATTCCAGCTCAGCAGTCAACACAATCTCCCCAATGAAAGTGATTGGCAAACTCAGCACTCTGGGTTTAAATACAACACTCTTCAACTGGATATTGGACTTCCTCACAAACAGACCCCAGTCAGTTCGGATTGGCGGACTCACCTGTGTGCTCAGCCCCCTCCTGTTCATGCTGTACACCCACAACATGGAGAGAACTCTGTTGTGAAGTTTGCGGACGACACCACCAACATCGGCTGGATTTCAAACAACATATCGGGAGGAAATCAATAGTCTTGCAGAGTCGTGTACAGAGAACACCCTTCTGCTCAACGTCAGCAAAACTAAGCAGCTGATCGTTGATTTTAGGAAAAAGGAGACAAAGACACAAACTCCTGTCTACATCAGTGGAGCTGAGGTAGAGCAGATGAACAGTTTCAGGTTCCTGGGAATCAGCATCACCTGACATGGTCATCTCACATCTCCACGTGGGTGGAGAGAGCTCAAAAACAGCTATATTTCTTAAGGAAACTTAAGAAGGCCCAGGACCGGAGGGCTCTGCAGCAGGTGATTAAAACTGCTCAGAAGATCATTGGTACCCATCTGCCGAGCATCAGTGAGATCGGTCAGGTGAGGTGCCTACGCAGAGCTCTGCAGGACAGTACCCACCAGCCACAGCCTGTTCACCCTGCAGCCTTCTGGGAAGAGATATAGAAGTTTCTGCTGCCACACCACCAGACTTCAGCTTTTTTCCCAACCTATCAGACTCTTAAACTCTAATTCATCCTCAGCACTGCTCCAGTGATGATAGTGTTTTTCTGTTTAACATTTTTCATAATTGCTTTTATATATATCGCTTTTATGTATATTGTCTGCTACGTAGCAGAAGGGAGATCTAAACTCAATTTCCATCTACAATCTGTTGTATTGTGACAAATAAATCTCCCTTGTACCATGTATTGGTGAGAATATTTCTGACCAAGTTGTCAGAAACAGACTCCATGAGGGTGGCATGAGGGCTCGAAGTCCTCTAGTAATATCTGTGCCCACAGCCCAGCCCTGTGCAGCTCGATTGGCATTTGCCAGAGAACACCAGAATTGGAAGTTCTGCCATTGGTGCCCTGTTCTCTTCACAGATGACAGCAGGTTCACACTGAGCACATGTGACAGACGTGACAGAGTCTGGAGACTCTGGAGAAATGTACAGTAAAGATGTGGAACTTTGAACAGTTTTGTTCATTGAGATATGATGTTTGAGTGTAAATTCAGTGGTGGGAGTGTGGGACAACAGGGATGAACAAGAATAAAGGAACACATTAAGTCTCAGGTAAAAAGTGTCAGCAATTGACTCCTCAGTCTCCTGCAAAATTGGTTAAACCTGACCTGTTTGGCATAGAACAGAGAAGAACAAACAAAGAAATTAGGACAGTCAGTAGATACCGGTGACAAGCCAGGTGGGCAGGCGGTGGTTGAGCTCCTCTTTGTGGCCTCGAAATGTCTCCTCTGTCATGACCTCGAAGTTGAGGATGAACATTATCACCAAGCCATCCTCGTTCTTCACTGGCACCACATCCACCACACATAGGAAGCAGTGACCTGTGTGGGAAGAGAGATAGATAAAGCTCAAAGATTGTCTTTGGGGGAAGCTTTTATCCAGGACCTCTTACAGTACCAAATGTGTATATGGCTTTAGAATTGGGAATAAAACCTCCAGCACAAGCGTGCAATTCCAAATACTTCTGTGTGCAGAAACACAGTCGTACGCAGTCACAGATGCATACACACTGTGAATGTGAGCATATATGCTAAACAGGCCAACTTTCTCTCTCTATCTCTCTCTCTCTCTCACACACACACACACACACACTTGCACACACAATTTTCATTCTCTCATTAAATGTTCATCTGTGCTTAATCAGCTCACACACTGTTCTGAATATGAGGCCAGGCACGTTTTCTAATCTGCCACATCAGTGCTAAAACAGCTAAGTATGTGTGAAATTAGACCAGGTCTATATGTGTCTGGACACACTGTGTATACAAGCTAGACTGTAAGTGAAAAAAAAAGAGATGGTTTTGACACAAGGACTTTGAATCTTCATAGCATCAAAATACACACACAAAAAAGGTATTGTCATCTTAAATTAAAACACTGCAAATTAACTGGAGTAGACAAAACTGATACTACTGAGACACAATTTGAGTATTTGCCACATTTTTAACATTCAGTGAAGATTATCTGGAAACATACGGAAATAATCTAGATAAAAATAATGTTTTAAAAATTTATATCCCTCCTCTTTTCCATTGTACAGCAGAAGTAAAATGGATACTTAAATCTCCAGCAAATGAATGCTGGACCCTTGTTCAGGAAAGTCAGTATCACCTGCACACTGAAAATAAGTAAACAACTACAAAATATCCTGAGAAACTCAAATGGTAAGTTTAAAATAATTAAACTATCCTTAAATCACACACTACAGTTAAAAGCGAGATAAAACTGCAATATAAACATTACAACATATACAAAGTCAAAATGCAGATCCAGGTCATATGGTACAGGAAAGAAGGATTTTGTCCCATAAGATTTAATACTTTACAGCATGTTTAAACAGAACTGCTTCTCAGTGACACAAAAATGAACAGACAGCAAATAAAACGACTATAATTTACTCTCAAATATGAGAAATGCATTTACTATGATTTCTGAAGTATCAGGCAGCCATAATCTGTCCTTCTAGACCATACAACTCCTTGTCCTAATAACAATATTTTTAAAACCAAGCTACAATGAAATGCATCCAGTTTGCAATGTCAAAATAAAGGCTTATGCTGTGCATCAGCTTTTTGAAAATTTAAGAAAGCTGTTTAGTTTGTCATTGAATGCCAAATTTGTTTCCTTCGAGCATGGACGCACTGGGCACTGCCTAAAGTGGCCTTTTGAAGTTAAAAAGTCCTTCTCACATTTCCCAGCGTACCTGGCTCTGATCCGTCCCGTCTCTGTCCTGGACAGTGATAGTCAGTGATCGGTCTACAAATGGCAGCTACAGCTGTTTTGGCAGTGTGGATTGTATGCAACCTAACGTACAACGTTTCTACTGCACGCCTGCCTCAGTCACCCACCCGGCTGTCATTCATCTCACATCATCACTGGAGAGTGGGCCGAAATCCGATTGGACAACAGCATAATCCCAGCACAGGAGGGGAATGAAATATGAAACACAGGGAAAACTAAAGGATTACACCATCTGGCCATATCTAGCAGCGTGTGTGTATGTGTGTGTGTGTGTGTGTGTGTGTGTGTGTGTGTGTGTGTGTGCACATGCAAGCTTATGTGCCCATGTGTAGGTAGATGCCCAGTCTGATGGTCACTCTTATGCTACAGGGTCATGTTCATTCAAGTTTTTTCTATAATAGTTGAATTTGCAGCCTTTTTAATCACTGAAGGTGTGGCTGCATCAAGCCTGAAGCTGCTTTACACAGCTCTGCAGCCACCTGCCCAGCCAGGAGGAACTTGCAGACATGCAACACAGGTTTTCAAGCTTTGTTGCCTATGTTTGTATAACAAGATTTTGTCAACTGAAATCATGTTTCACGAATGACCTTCCCAGCTTCATCCCTAGATGGTCATTCATGCATTTATATCATCTCAGTAAGATTATTGTAATTCATTTCATCTAGGGTTAAGCCCTCATGCCTTCAGCTAGTACAAAATGCAGCTGTTCTGCTTTTAACAAATACTAGAAGATCAGAAAATCAGAAAGGGGGCTGCATAGTGGTGCAGTGGTTAGCACTGTCCTCAAAGTAAGAAAGTCTTGGCTTCAAACCTTGGTCCTCCCAGGCCTTTCTGTGTTTGCATGTTCTCCCTGTGTCTGTGTGGGCGCTCTGGCTTCCTCCCACTGTCCAGAGACATGCAGGCTAGGTTAACTGGTGATTCTATGTAAACATGGTGTTCCATGTAAACAGATACACAGTTTAAAATGAAAACACGGATGTAATAACATTTCTCATATTACTTTGTCAATCTGATTAAATTGGATTCCTGGAATCCTTCACGGATTCTAACTCCTGTCACATGAACAGCAATCTGAGGCAGACTTCCAGCACAGGTCCTATAGACGGCTTTCATTTTAGATCCCATGTTGCTAGGTGGATTATATTCTGAAACTGGTGCACATGTATTCATGGAAGACAATGCCTTAGAAACATGTTGGTATTATTACAGGCTGTGTCCCAGACATTAAACCTGCAACTCTTCATCTAAAAGCTGCTGAGAAACAGGACAGACTGATTTGTGTTTTGGGGATGACAGATGTGATTTGTACAAACACACATGTGCATGCACGCACATGTGCACAGTACAATGTAGGATTAAATATCAAAAGAGGATTTAGTTTCAGTTGATTGTTTTAATACATTATAATACAATGTATTTACTGTAACGTGTGACTCCGCAACGCTCACTCGGTTATGTTTCAATTCTCTGATTGTGTGTTTTACATTTGTTTTATACATGTATGTACAATAATCATGCATGCATGACCGCGTTGCATATATACATTAATGCATTAGTGCAGTGTACACTGTGTGTTCTACTGTACTGTAGACACAGTCTTTGTGTGTCCCCTGAATTTGGCAGAGAGACGAAAAGGATAAAGAATACATATTTTAGGCACATCAGACCTGATCATTAGTTGTTGACCATCATCCTTTCACTGTCTACTATAGAAGGGTCTGAAATGAATTGAGCTCTGAGGTTAACAGGGCAAATGCCATTACATCTAAATGCTGCCCTTGGATGTATTCCAATTCAGCGTGTACCAACTGATAATCTGATTCAGTGTTGCTGATTTACAAAGCTCTGGGAGATTATCACAATGCACTAAAACACATCCAAAAAAAGCACAGAGTGAAAACTGCTGATAGTCATGTGATCACACAACACAGCCAAACAGACTACCAAACTTCATATATAAAGGACTACTCAGGTGTATGGGGGATGCTGATCATTACTTAAAAGGGTTGGTACCAAAATCTTAGATAGCTCTGTCTAATGTGTATACTACTGATTTAGCGATTGAGTAATTGAGACACTAAGACCTTGTATCAGTTGTCAGGCTGGCTTATTTGGGGGACCATGTAGGGTTATGTATAATAATATGAAACAAGATATGTATGTAGAATCACACTGTTTTACGTGAAGACTGCATTTAATTTTAGGATATTCATCATCAAGATGATGTAAAAGAAAAAAAGAGGTAAAGTGAGGAACAGCCACCTCTACACTGCCCTTAACACTAAGCTGGTTTAAATCATATCTATCAAATCAATGAATCAATTAACAATGAATCCTCCAAAGTTAGTCATGGAGTTCCACAAGCTTCTATGCTTGGACCCATCATCTCCACCTCATCCAGTATATGCTTCCTTTAGGCAATATTATTAGCAAACACAAAAACATTCATTGCTATACAGATGATCTATCAAGTCAGATGAAACCAATCAGTTAGCTAAACTTCAAGCATCTGGATGACCTGGAATGTTTTGAATTTAAACTGTGACAAAACTGAAGTTATTGTTATTATTGGCCCCAAACTGAGGTGTTTGGGGCCAAGTACAATAGCTTGAATATATACGTAGTTACTCTAAATGGAGTTGCCAAATCTTGGATTTATCTTAGACCAGGATGTGTCCTAACTCCATCATACAACAAACTTTAAGGACTGCCTTTTTTCCACCTACGTAACATTACAAAAATCAGGCACGTGGCCCCAATAATTTCCTTAAGACTTTCTAGTTGATCCAGAATGCTGCAGCACACGATAAGAACCTTTCTGCATTAGCTCCCTGTAAAATCCAGAAAATAATTTAAAATCCATCTCCTCACCTACAAATCCCTTGGTCAAGCACCATCATTTTTAAAGAGCTCATAGTCCCCTATTACCCCACTAGAACACTGCACTGAGCTCCTCTCTGCTCCTCTCCCTTTCAATCTGTCTTGTCCCATTACTGCATGTTACTACAATTACTCATCATCTTCCCTCTCCCATAGTTTTGTGTTTTCTCGTCTCTCTCAGGTTTAATATCTATGATCGCAAGCCACCTAATGCCCCCATGTTCATGCTAAGCATCCGCTGCTACAATTACTGTTATTAATATTAATAATATCACCACTGCAGGTACATTACTATTACTTCAAATCTCTCTGTGGAATTTGCATTGTGCTACTGTTCGTTCTCTTTCCTCTCTCTCTTTCTCTCGCTACCCAATCAGTCAAGGCAGACAGCTTCCCATCCCGAGTCTAGGTTCTGCTTGATGTTTCTGCCTGTAAAAAGGGAGTCCTTGCTACTGTCTCCAAGTAATTGCTTATTTAGAGGGACACGGAAGGAAGGCTTACAGTAGTTGTTCAGGAAAATCTTTCTTCCAGTTTAGCTGAAGATGAGAGAGGGTTATAAACAGGGATATGGCTGCCCCAAAGCAAACTTATGTCAAACCACATACTGTACATCTCTGAAGCTGAAAGATTCCTCCAATGGGAGAACTCCCAAAAACATCAAGGAGGTTTTAGCATCTCTCGTCTCCTTTTAACTCTCTTT